TATGTGGGGCACTGGATTCATACCATGTTGGAATCAGACATCACTTATTCTCTAAAAGTGTCAGACTTCATTCATTTCACAGAGGTACCAGACTTTAATCATGTGTGTATCTGCTGTTTTTGGATTTCATTCATTTGATAATTATCTTGTAGTAGCAGTCTTAAACGATTTTTTTGTTCATGCTTATTTATTTAGCAACATTATACTTACATGAGGAGTGTGTACATGAAGAATACTAGAATATTTTCAGTATTAATTAAAAACAAAAATACATTGTTAGTTTTTCTTTATGTATTTGAATATGCATCTTGTATAGTTTCAACTTTAGTGAAATATTTCAATGACTTTTACCTTTTTATTTTTTTTCTTTACTTTCTTTCATGATAAATCACGATTTCTTTTTGATTTCACAATAACTTATGTGTGAGATTCATAGTTATTCAAAGCCTTTGTTATAAGATAATCTGCAGTAGCTAAATATTATAACTAACCCTTGTTCTCTCAGGAGGGGAAGAAGATGGTGCGTTACCGTGACAACAAGGTTGTGAGCCTCAAGGGAGAGAGGTACACGGAGTTCAAGAAGGATGAAACAGCTGAGATGAAGAAGACATATGTGCACCTCAAACCGGGCAAGCAGTATCGATTCCACTGATCCACAGGGTACAAACCTTACTACATTGCCGCTGTCCAGTGTCACCAGGGCGAGGGGGCGAGGGATGGTGTGGGCCAGGGCGGTAAGGTTTGTTTTTGTAATCAACACCAGAGTTATTTATGTTACGCGATAAGGCCACAGCTTGAGGGCGAGTGCAGACTTGCGAGAGCCTTGAGTGACGTGATGCTGTTGGTGGGTTCAGTGGAACTTTTAGCATATAATCTCATGAGAATTCTCATCACTCTTCATTGTTGTTCATTAGTGTTATTATGTAGTTACTGCTTCAGTGTCAGTAATTGTATTTTAGTGTGTGAATTGCTTATTAGGTACCAAAGAAGACATAGGTTATTAATTGAGGCACTTTACAGCCAGAATAGGAAAGTGGTTAAAAAGAAATACTCAGAATTATATAGAATATCCTGCGAAAGATTCTTGAAGCCATACTCGAATAGGGTGGAGCTTGCACTGCAGTGTGCAATACTGTGCGAAATAACAAGATTTAACCATGACACACTAGACTCTGTCATTAGTCATAAAGATTTTATTATATTAAAATACTTATGGTATATGATTTTTACAAATTGGAAAACCGGTAGGTTATTTTCATATGTAGGCGAGCTTGTTCATAACGACTCCAATAAAACCATAATATATAGCGGAAGGAATGATCTGTGCAGTTTTTTATATCTTTATTGTAGAGTAGCTTTATTCTCTGATGAATTAACAAAGGTTGATGATTGTAAGTGGACAACAGTCAATAGGTATATGTGCAGCTCCCTCAACACTGCACGGGTGGTAAGAATACCTCAAACTATTTATAGTTTATTAGGTGTAAATGCAGAATTCGCAGTTCCTGCATTAAAGAGATGAATTCGCATAATCAGAAAAGCAATAGCAAAGACCAAGCAAATATTTGTTTGTTTATGAATTATGTAGTTACCAGTAATTATAGTTTGAAAATAATTAGTCAGGCATTGTTTTTATTACAATGAATTGGTTTGGGATCATGTTTTTTGGACCATTTTAACGAATTTTATCCTTTTTTACCAGGTTACAATTTCTCCACATATGCAAGTATTTGTATATGTACTCTTCCATAGCACATGGAAGCAATTAATTTTCTTCTACCTAGTCTATGTATTTAGCTGTGGCATATCCTATGATTACATTCTCTTTCTATTATTATTAAATCTAATAGCAGCATTACAGATATATAGTATTCTTTAGACAGCAGAAACATTTCTCAAACTTTCTTGACCACAGCCCATTTCTCTGGCAATGGACTGATAATCACATTATCATTCGATATTAACCCTTAAGGGCTGGCAACCTTGGTAGCCAGAAATTGCTCAAACAAGCACAAAATCAAGTGATACTGAAAGGTAATAATATTTACACTACTTCTTCTAGAATTATAAAATGAGGGACTTGTTGCATTCATCATAGAATAGAGGGCCTTGAAAAGAAAAAAATGCAAACTAGAAAGAAATTGGAAGTGTGTGCTAGAAAAGGCATCTAAAGATTCGTTCTGCCTTTGTGCCAACTAGAGTTATTAATCCAATCCAGGCCATGAGGGTTAAAGTACATTAGTTTTATACAAGAAGTTTTAATTTGTTACAGTAAAGTAATAAGTCTCGGGGCATTAGATACAGATTTATGTTTGTTTCTTGATAATGCTGATGATGGTGATGATGATTATCAACTTCATTGTTAAAAAATCCTTATAAAAGGTATCCTCTATTCACAGAGTCTAATTGAAGTTGGTTGTTTCCTTTCCTGGTAGTAACTTTACTATACTGCTGAAAGGGAGGGCTAAGATAGAATGGTGGTAGTTAGTTCTTAAATGATTACAGTGGTCAAGGTTTTTAAAAGACAGTCTTCCCAAATTAAAATATCATCATGTAACAATAGTTCTTTTTTCTTGCTTACTCGGCAAGGTATCAATGAAGTTAGGTTTTGGAGTGAGTTACAAATTTCCTTCTTAATTCTCTCTTCTGTCTCCTCTTCCTCTTTATCCTCATCCTGCTTTTATTTATAATACACTATGATAGAGAGATTCCTTTATACCTTTAGTGGACAGCAGTTTTCATTTTAGCTCAGCTGTAATGGTAATCTAGACCTTGAAAATTACCTTGAGGATATTTGCTCTAAGTTACTGTTACCCTTAGTTTCTTTAACAAGTTTACGTATACTTGTTTAGATTTAGTACTATTTGTGGACCTGGTCTGAATCTCCATAAGGGCATTGCTTTTTAACAGGTTTTGTTTTTCTTCTTTAAAAGACCACAAATGTGTAACAAAAAACAAATATTGGTCTTTCCAAAGAAAGCCATGTAAAGGAGTAAGATATAGTCATATAAACCTGCAGGTTTGATAAAACAGGTTTTATTTTGTTACTGAAATTTAGACATTCCAGTTTCTTGTATGTCTTTGGCAATTGATGTTAGATTTTGTGTAGTGCAATTATTGTGAGGGACAAATTAAGTGTCATGAGAAGGAAAATATAATCAGCAGCTATTATGGGAATGAAGTGTCTTAATTGAACTTCAAGCTTTGTACCTGTTTTGTCATGTTGGAATTCAGTATTATAGCTGTATCACAGTGTAGGTGGTTTAGTTGAAGATTACACATGGTCAGGATATGTTTGCAAGAGGTGAAAATCTAATCCTCTTGCAGATTATGGCATTAAGTGGCTTGTTGATAATTTACTAAATAATTGGTGATTTAAATTCCCTGTGTTGTTTGTGGTCTCGTGTAGATGATGAGACAAAGTAGATTTTTTTTTCTTTTTAATTCTTTTTTTTTTCAGTCTTTACTTTACTTCATATTAATGCACAGTGACAGGATAGTGAATCTACTAATACCACTTATTAACTCTTTCCAAAAGATAGCTGTCTTACTAGTATAACCCTCTACTTAGATCAGTGTTGTTTTAGTAATAGGTAGCTTTCTCGCAGCTTCTTTAGTTAGTTAAGACTTTATAGAACATATTTATTTTTTATATTTTGCTGCTGTACAAAATATTATGTTTGTATGTTAATCCTTGGATTTTTATTTTGCTTGTGTTATAGCTAAGAGAATGTGCAAATGTTGACCAGAAAAGTAAGCTTACATACGGGAAAGGGATAACTTGAGAATAAGTGCACATGTACCATTTCTAGGGGAATAAGGGTTTTGGCTTTTCTGTGTCTCTTTACTATATAGCTGGCACTGGCTTTACCTAATATGCTTACTTTAACATAACTGAAATTGTAAATTGCTTTTTTATATATTTCTTTCACCTTAGGCTTTAAAGAATTTTTGAGATCTTTCATGTTTATGACTAAGTGAGTTTTATGGTTGTTGAAGTGACTTCCTGATTCAGTAAACAGGTTTTTCAAAGCATTCCTGCTGTATAATAGACCAGCTAACTTTACAAATGAATTACAGAACATGTTCAGTCTGTTCATGTGTCAAATCAAAGCTCTGGCCATATTCCCCCTTTTTATCGCAGCATTTCTCGTGAACAATTACAGACATGGCTGGTATAACATGCATTGTGCTTTGAATGTCTTGTAAGGACTTTTGATGTGATTAGGTTTTCATTTTTGTCTAGTTTGTTTTTATATGAACCCTTGTATGTTGGTGTGAGTTTTCATAAAGGAATATATATATATATATTTTTACACTTTTGAAGTTTTTCAGGATAAGGACTTTCATCACAGAAAAGTTTTTTTCCTTCTTTTTTTTTTAAGTCTGTTGATTACAGTACTCACAGTTGTCCTTTTTGAAACAGTACACAGTAATTTATAATAATCCAGTTTCTGAGACGATTGTCCATGCAATAATATGATAGGAATTTATCAGTGCTTTTAACTTTATAATGATCAGTTACTTCAGAGTGATAATGAGCACAACAGGAAATGGAATGGTTGTACTTATCTCTTTTTTCCCCCCAAGAAGTATGTACTGGTTGCAGTGATTTTCCCATTTTCTTTACTTTCACGAACTCATAGGAGAGAAATTTATTGTTTTAGAGTTTTTTTTTTTCCCAGTTTGAAAAGACACAAGTACATATTACTTAAGGTTTCATTTGTGTGTTTTTTTTTTGTTTTTTTTTATGGATCTGATGAAATAAAAGTGTATGTAAGGTAGATGTTCAGGTTTCTACTTTTGTCTCTTCCTTATAGAAATTTCATTGTAAATCTTTATGTGATCTGTAAATCGTCTTTGCTTATTACGTGTGGCTAATAAATGAGAAAAGATACTTTGTCACTTCATTTTATTTCAATTGTGGATGTTGGTCTTAGTGTGTGATAGCACTTTTCATTCACACTTTAGCTGTGCAAAATGATTTCCTTTGTTCATGAATGGAAATTTTAACTAGTTTTATAAAATATATTGCAAGCTAAGTGCAACCACAACTGAATATCGACATCCATTCAAAATGAATCCATTATTTCAAAACCATAAGTTCTAAGTTGTTTCTTTCTCTTCTGGCAGAAAAGTATATATGGAGAATGATATTATATAGTGAAAAAGTCATTAAGATTGTGTAGAAAAGAAATTAATATAATAAGGGAGAAGAAATCCTAACCCTATTCATGAGGTTAAATTGAGAAAGATGATGATTAATGAAAAATTAACTTGGATAGCTACAGTAACTTCAGTGGGTATTTATTACTGAAACAAGGAACAAGAATAAGAAGTAACACTAGATTGGGTTTCAAGATATAATAAAATACTTCAGAGAATTGAAATAAAATATTGGATTATTGAATTAGAACTGTTGGAAATGAAGTTTTTAATTATTTAATCTCCACTCTATTTTGAAAGAAGGTAGTAAAATGTATATAAGAATCAGTAGCTGCTGAAAATACAAATAACTGTTAAAAAGTTTTTTTTTGTGAGGAATGATATTTGAATTGAATTATTATAAATAAAAGTAAGAACAACTAGAGACTCAAATGTGCCAGTGTGGAAAATTCAATGAATTACCTTGAAAGATTCTGTATTAAAGGTACTCTTTGATTTTGCTATTGTGTTTGCACTAGTATTGAACTTTTTATGAGATGATAATATTCCCATAGATTACGTAGTTTTGTGATCTTTAGAGTATATCATATATAGCTCCCAATGTGATGGCATAAATATATGTGCAAGAGAAACACTTGGAAAGTGGTGAAAAAATATATTTTTGTTTTTTACACCCAAAACATTTTGTACAGGGGAGAGAATGATATATGCTAAGTAATTCTACAAACTGTTTCTAAACAGTCATTTAACCAAAAGTAACAAGAATATCTCCTTCCCAGAAAAAAAAAGTTTAGTCTTGGACACAAGAAGAAAATTATGTAACTTCAGGCAGTGAAACTTGGTATACTTACCATAAATATAATGCTATAAAGATGCCTCCTACAAATTGCACTTCTTGTATGTTCAAAAGAAAAGGCCAAAATGATGTTGAAAAGAACAGTCTAAATGTGTGACAGGCAGCCAAGAAACAGAATTAGGGAAGATAACGTTTGATTTATCTCTAGACCAAACTGTTTTAGATTATCTTGCCCATGTAATGTTGAGCTATTTGATTCCCAAGTAATATTTGGTTACCAAAGTGTATGATTATAGGGCCAATTTTATTACTTTTTGCTGGTGCTTCTTCACTTATGTTCCTTATAAGCTAAAGCAATGATCAGCAGAAGTAGTACTTGGTTTCAGAAGTCTGTTTTGAATATTAAAAAGCTTTGAATTGTTAGCCTAGGGAAATATAAAGCCCAAGTTTAAGCCTCAATAATACAAGTATCTTGTGTCCAGTAATGCATACAGGTAAGTTATATTTATCTCTTAGTTGGCATGGATTCAGTTTCCACACTCAGCTAGTAAGAACACTCATGTAGCTGTATTTTGATAATCAAAGAATGAGTTTTGGTTATTTTGCTTTTGATTATTTTCATTGCAAAAATACTCTATTGGAGAATATTGTGCTATCAATTTGCTTGTTAGAAAAGGGATACATTATTATTGTTATTATTATTATTATTATTATTATTATTATTATTATTATTACTTTTAGTAGTAGTAGTAGTAGTGGTAGTAGTAATAGTATTACTAATAAATTCATTATTATCATTATTATTACTGTTATTATTATTATTATTATTATTATTATTATTATTATTATTATTATTAAATTCATTATAATCATTATTATCACTGTTATTATCTTTTTATTATTGTAATTCTTATTCTTGTTATTATGATGATGATGATCATGGTCCAAAGTATGACTGGGATGGCCAAAGTTAGCTGTAATTTGGTGTAGCTTCACTTTTTTATGACAGATTCCTTAGGTGTCTGAAATTACATCTCATGTGCAACTTCAGATGAGTTATGCAAATCTAACAGCACTTGCAATATTTCAATCATTCTTTATTGTTTCTCTGGTTTCCCTGCCTTCACAATGCATAAATATTGGCCAAAATTATATTGTTGGTAAAATTGTATGCAGATGTATTTTTAAGACCCTCCAGCCTTCAAAAACACTTGCAATAGCTGTACTCACTCAGGATTTAGGGAGGAGTTGACAAAAGGAATTCTATCCCCATCTTTACGTACATCATTTTTGGGATGGATGGCAGTGACGATTATCTTTCAGTAATGGCTACTGTAGTTGACAAAATTAACATATTGTAAAGCAATTTTTGTTTTTTTTTCACTTCACCAATTTTGGGGGGTAAAGTGGGCCATGTTTGTGTGATTTTGAATATCTTAAGATGGGAACAGTGAAATATATATATACATATATATATTTTTTAAAGCTAGATATAAAAGTTTATTGTATATTTGGTAACTTTCAGTTTTGAAATAGCTTTTCCAAGTTTCCTATGTTCCTCCCCAAAATTTTTAGGGGGGTTTCACACAGGGGGTTTTGCACTTTTCTAAAACAGACCTCTGAGATATCATGTGATGAAGTAGTTTTCATTTTTTGTTTGGGCTTTTTGATAACTGAAATTGTAATTGAGAAAATGGAGGCACATCATCTCTGTAGGAAAACAGTGGCCACAGTGGTTTTATTTTTTATTTATATCTTATTTTTTGATATTACTGTTGCTGAAAAACTGAGACTAACTGATAAAATAGCTTTGTATTTCTATTTGATTCAGGTGCTTTGCTTTGGTTAGTGTGTGACTTACGGGCCTACCCCACATCAGCACTTGTATGTGATGTTAAGACTTTTTTCTTCCCCTTTACAATGTTATTAGCTTTTTTGCATAAACGTTTTTTTCTTTTTCTTTTTTTTAGGCTATTTTCCTTGCACAGACTCCATGTCATCTCTCTAGGTAGTCTATAACTCTGCAGTAATAGTAATAAAATGTAACATTTTGTTATTTGTGTAATTTTTTGATATTCACAATTTTCTGTTGTACACCCTGTGCTGCCATGGATGGTACATTCTACACTCGTTTGCCAATAGGAATAATGCAAGATCCCCTTCCTAAATACCCACCAAGTCTAATCACTCTCCAAGAATTTTGCACTCTTGTGGCATGTCATTCCCGCCACCCTGACCCTCAGTCAAAATTTTTATGATGGGATGTTTCCTTTGTCACAGCCTTCAACTAATTTTTCCGTGATGGCATGTTCATGTCACCTGGCCCTCAAGCAATTTTTTCCATGACATGATGGACATGCAAAAGAATCGAAGGAGTTATTGTTGCTCGTTTTGTCTTATTGTAAGTCTAATAAAAAGTAATGTAAGTCTTTGTAATGCTCTGCAGTTCAATTTGGTAGCATATTTTGGTGGGCCATATACAAGTTACACAATATATATATACCACAAACACACACACATACAGTTTTGGGAGGGCAGTTCCTGGACACCTTCCCTCCCCTCAAAAAAAAAAAAAAAAAAAAAAAAAAATTCTTAAAGGAAGAGTGTTTTACAAAGAATGTAAGTACAAAAAATACATTCTAGCTCCTCCCTCCCTCCCTCCTTTTCTTTCTTTCACTCTCACACTCACTCACTCACTCACTCTCTCTCTCTCTCTCTCTCTCTCTCTCTCTCTCTCTCTCTCTCTCTCTCTCTCTCTCTCTCTCTCTCTCTCACTCTCTCTCTCTTTTTGTTACATACAGATGGTTCCACATATGCTCAGCCGGCAAGGAGTCTATCAGTAGGCCCTAGTTACCGATCCTGATTTTCCCATTCATTGAATTGACTGGAAAATTAATACCATTGCTATCGATACTGCTATCATAGTTATTGATGTTGATATTGATTAGAATATTTTAGACAATGAAATGATACAAAAAACCCTTTCCTAAAGTGAAGGAAAAGGGTAAACAGATGAAATAGATAGTTCTTGATAACTGGCTATTTGGTGATTAAGAACTTGTGGAGCCATCTATGTGTAAATACAATAAATAAATGTGTATCAAAGTGGGTATGGCATCTATTCTTGCCACGTGGGGCCAATGGGTTAATAATGAACCTCAGATATGCACTTTACAAAATCATTATGTGTTCTTTTGTAGCACCAAACAGTGGAAAGATGAATGAAAAGGGATTATGCGGAGAAACAAAATATCATTTCACTGGTTTAATATAAAAGGCATAATTATACATTATCACAGTATCAGCTGTTGGCACTTTGAACATCATAAATGCATATATTGGTATCTAAATCATTCATATATTGCAGTTTGTATATATATGTATGTGTATATGTATGTGTATGTATGTGTATGTGTATGTATATGTATATGTATATGTATATGTATATGTATATGTATATGTATATGTATATGTATACGTATACGTATACGTATACGTATATGTATATGTATACGTATACGTATACGTATATGTATACCTATATTTATACCTATATGTATACGTATATGTATAGGTATATGTATATATTAACTATATATATATATATATATATATATATATATATATATATATATATATATATATATATACTATACGTATACGTATACGTATATGTATACGTATATGTTAAATATATATATATATATATATATATATATATATATATATATATATATACACACACATACATATACATATAGATTTTGTGTGTGTGTGTTTACAAATTTGTTAAGATGTGAGATACTAAGAGTGAAGAGAAAACAGCTTTTGGGAGCACCATGTAGTTTATCTATAAACTACAAAAACCACAACAGTTAAAGTAATAATGACAACTATCACTCATAGTAATAACAGAAGCAATGAGTAACAAATATGACAACGTATAGCTACTTCATTCATTCATCTTGGTTCTGCCTCATCACCATGTACATATGATATAACCTCGTTTGATGAGCAGCAGTTGTATTTATTGCATGA